TAAGGACAAATGCAAAGTGCTCCTCCTAGGAGGGAACAATCCGTGTCACACAGACAGAATGGGAAGCGACCGCCTAGGAAGGAGTCCTGGAGAAAGGGACCTAGGGGTCAGAGTGGAACACAAGCTACATATGAGTCAACAGTGTGACGCTGTTGCAAAAGAAGCAAACATGATTCTGGGCTGCATTAACAGGAGTGTTGCGAGCAAGACACAAGGAGTCATTTTTCTGCTCGACTCTGCGCTGATTAGGCCTCAATTGGAGTGTTGTGCCCTGTTCTGTGCACCACATTTCAGGAAAGATGTGGAGAAACTGGAGAAGGTCCAGAGAAGAGCACCAAAAATGATGAAAGGTCTTGAGAACATGAGCTATGAGGTGAGGCTGAAGGAACTGGGCTTGTTTAGTTTGGAAAGAGAAGACTGAGAGGGGGCTTGATAGCAGTTTTCAGGTATCTAAAAGGGTGTTACAGGGAGGAGGGGGGGAAATTGTTCTCCTTGGCCTTTGATGACAGGACAAGAAGCAATGGGCTTAAACTGCAGCAAGGGAGGTTTAGGTTGGGCATTAGGAAAAACTTCCTACCTGTCAGGGTGGTGAAACACTGGAATAAATTGCCCAGCGGGGTTGTGAAATCACCATCACTGGAGATGTGTAAGTGCAGCAAGGGAGGTTTAGGTTGGGCATTAGGAAAAACTTCCTACCTGTCAGGGTGGTGAAACACTGGAATAAATTGCCCAGCGGGGTTGTGAAATCACCATCACTGGAGATGTGTAAGAGCAGGTTGGACAGACACCTGTCAGGGATGATATAGACCATGCTTGGTCCTGCCATGAGGGCAGGGGACTGGACTTGATGACCTCTCAAAGTCTCTTCCAGTTCTAGTATTCTATGATTTTATGATTCTAAGTTCTTGGCCTTGGTGGTATCCTGTAGCAGTGAGTTCCTCAGTTTATTTATCAATTGTGTGAAAAAGTGTTTCCTTGTCTTGGTTTTGAATTTCTCACCTTGTAATGTGGTGGAATGCCCCATTCATCTTTTCTTAGGAGTTTCGGCGCTTCTGTTCTCCTTAGTGACTCACTCTGCCCCGGTCATTATTTTATATCCTTTCATAAAAGTGTCCCCTCTTATGGGTCTCCTTTCTAAGGTGACAGCCTCTATCTTTCCAGCTTCTCCTCTTAGGAGAGTTTTTCCAGGGTCTTGATCATTCTCATTTCTCCTCTCCATTGCCCTCTCTTCTCTCTAGTTCTTCAGTATCCTTCGAGAGAAGCAGAGACCAGCCGTTCACATAATATTCCAGATGAGGCCATATCATTGATTTATTTGATGGCCTAGATGTTCTCTGTATTATTCTCCATTTGTCATGTACCCTAACATCTTGTTTGCCACTTGACCACAGCTGCACATTCCTTCCTTTCCATCTGTCACAGGTATTTAGAAAGTGTCTATCTCCTTGGAAAGGGAATTTATTATAGTTCCAACATGCAAAGAACTTTATTCTTCCTCTGAAACATGTGCAGGGGTATTGGGATTTGCTTAATCTCTTAGGCTTACTTATATGTATTTGTGAGCCAAATTTTGCCTGGAGATGAATATGTGTAGATCCCACATGTGTCTGTCTCAGGGCAAAATTGGATTCTCTACTGATTTGTGGCATCTAGGGGACAAACCCTGAAATATTAACTCAGAAATCTCATTGATGAGTACAAAAAACAAGAGTTAGATTTAGGGGAACACTGGGGTTGCTTTGAACATTTCCTGCTTTCCAGATATTTTCCATTTAACTCCCCTTTTAAACATTATCTTGATTTAGAGATCCAAAGAGAAGCAAACTTTTCTTCACCTCTGATTTGCTATTTGTTGGCCTAATCAGATGTGAATAGTAGATTGTATTGACCATGACTGCCATCAATCTGGGTTTGTGTATGCAGTGTGATGGGTCAAGATTACTCTGATTCTCAAGCTATGTCTACACGATTTAGAGATCCAAAGAGAAGCAAACTTTTCTTCACCTCTGATTTGCTATTTGCTGGCCTAATCAGACGTGAATAGTAGATTGTATTGACCATGACTGCCATCAGTCTGGGTTTGTGTATGCAGTGTGATGGGTCAAGCTTACTCTGACTCTCAAGCTATGTCTACACTTCAGAGTTTTTGCAGAAAAACAGCCGTTTTCCCACAAAACTCATAGAGCGTCCACACCTCAAGCGCGTTTTTACACAAGAGAATCGAAAGAACAGAGGGGTTTTTGTGCAATTGGTCTTCCTCTTTCAACGAGGAAGAAGCCTTTTTGCGAAAGAGTCCCCTCCGACTTTAGCATCTCTGCACATAGACATCTGTGAGCCGCTACCTCATTGCTCATCTGCGACTGTCATCCAGTGGCATGGGAGAAGGGTGCATGGGCAGGATTCACTGGCAGATGTTATGGCCTTTGGTTGCTGAGTACCATGCGGGGATACCTTTCTCCATCGTGATGGGGCCGCATCTGTGTCCACAGATAAAAGGGTTGCAATCGAGAGATGGCTCAAACGCCTTCCCCTGGCATTCTGCCCCCTGCCCGAGCCAGCAAGGGAGTGGGCCCCAGCAGAACAATAAATAGAGCTTTCTCCAGAAGTCATGCCAGGGGGTGACTTGCCTGCTTTACACTCTGGAATTGAGCCTTGTATTTCACACTCCTCTGCAGTGTGCCCTGTCAGCTGAGCATGTGGGTGGCCACCCAGGATGCTGCCCAGATGATTAGAAGAGCACCCACCAACCTGGGTATATGTTGGTGGTGCACATCTATGCATGCATCGGTGCACATAACAAAATTTATTCTGCACACAAAGTGAAACATGTATAGGGAATGTCGTCCCTCGGTGGGTGCACATGTGCCTCCACTTGAGCAGACTGACCAGACAGCAATCTAATAGCCTGCTAGCAAAAGAGTGTATAGGGAATGTTGTCCCTCGGTGGGTGCACATGTGCCTTCACTTGAGCAGACTGACCAGACTGCAATCTAATAGCCTGCTAGCAAAAGAGAGCAGCTCTTAGAGCACCTAGTAATGTAGAAGAAATTAAATGGAGAACGAACGTATCTGACTAGGAGATGAGCTGAGGGCACACAGCACTTGGCAGGATCTGGTCAGTGCTACCCTGGTGTCATGCCAATGGGACGGAGAGGCCCTGCAGATGGTATGACTGGCAGCTTTTTGGTTGGCGCAGAGAGAGAGAGTCCAGTGCCGTAGGCCACGGAAAGGCTGCCCTGCCCATAATAAAAGGTTCTTTAATACCATCCGGGGGTGAGTCCTCTTGTTTCTAATCTATCAAAACTAATTTGGGCCCCTTGAGTCTTAGGCCCATGGCCTTCCCCGTCCCTAATCAAAAAACGGAACGTTTTGGCAGCTGGGCCGTTTCGTGAATGAGCTGCTGAATGTAAACAATGCTGTGCGTTAACGGGGCTCATGTTTACAAGCATTCCCCTGCGCTAACCTCAGACCCTGGCCTCCTCCGGACCTGGGGAGGAGGCGTGTCTGAAGATAACAGGAGAGTCTACCCTGGTCCCCTGATTCCCATGTGGTTGTGTTGTCTCGGGCCTGTCTGCCTAAAATATCCACGGGGCAGGACCGCTTGTTTTCCGCACCCAGCGCCGTCTGAAGGAAACGTCTGCTGAGCATTTGGGCTCGGGCCAGGATCCTGTCGGGCTAGCATGAAGCTTTGCCAGGGACTTGACAAAACATTTTTTTTTCTTGTGCAAGAACATTTTTATCAAATTGCTCCCATTTAATGAGACTTGCATTTAACGGTGGTGACCGGCTGTTTTGAGGGGACCCAGTGCCTGTTCGGTAGGGCCGGGCTAGAAAAGTGGAAGCTCTGGTGAGACGAGAAATCAATGATTTTACATTGAAGGACGTTGCTTGTTGTTGCCGTGTGTGGCAAAATGAGTGTGGTCAGGCACAGGAGCGATTCACGATAGGGGACGCATGTAGCTTTCAGCTCCATTGACAGATGTTTTGGGGTAACATGGAAGCCTGTCATTTTGGAATAACATCTGGGGGTTGGAGAGGCAAACCTGACCGCTTGAGTCTGATTTCAGTAATAAAAAAGTCACCTACTCACACGCTAGTCAGCCTGAGGCCTCCTGAATGTTGTCTCCACATCAAACGGAGCAGCGGGAAAATATCAATTCAGGTGAACGCAGCCAGACAGCCACCTACCCAAACTTTTTTGCACCGGGTCAGCAATCTGAGAAGCAAACACTCGGTCCCCTTTGTGATGCTGGCAGGCCAGACGCAGGCCGTCGCTATGTACAATTTCCTAACCAGATCAGGCCACTGGAGTGTTAGGTTTACTCAAAATAGGCGTTAGTCTGGGAAGAATGAATTTGGACTCTGTGAGATGCCTGCACGGTGTTCCCAGGCATGACTCTCACGTACAGTATCCACGTCCTATGTCGCGAGGCAATAGTTAAGTGTGTGCTTGAAAACTGTTCACCCCCACAGTGATGAGCCAGGCGGTACCAAGTGCGAGCTACCAGGAGGTGTTATCTCCTGGCCAACACAAGAAGGCCCATAGACACCAGACAAACCATTATGGAGCATCAGAGGACAAAATTGCTCGCAAGCCTGCCCCCCATCCCTTCTTGCCCTGACGAAAAGGAGACCTGCGTGTGGACTTATCGCATCATCTCAGGATGGAGAGAGGCTGTTCTCAGTGGTGGCAGGTGACAGAACGAGGAGCAATGGTCTCAAGTTGCAGTGGGGGAGGTCCATGTTGGATATTAGGACAAACTATTTCGCTAGGCGGGTGGGGAAGCGCTGGGATGGGTTCCCTAGGGAGGGGGTGGAATCTTCACCCCTAGAGGTTTTTAATTCCTGGCTTGACAAAGCCCTGGCTGGGAAGATTTAGTTGGGATTGGTCCTGCTTTGGCCAGGGAGTTGGACTCGATGACCTCCAGCCCTAGGACTCTATGGCTGTGTCGGGAACAAAAATCCCTGACAAGAAGAAACTGCATCTATTGGCTGTTTGGATTCTGAAGGGCCAGAGACACCAAACTGTAGCTTGAAAACCCCCAGGGCTGTCACTCGCATCTGCCCTGGGATTGACAGGTCACTGCAACACTGTCACTCTTGGCAGTAAGCCAGTAACTCATGTGTGTATGTGTGTGTGTGGGGGGGAGGGTTGGCTTGCTTTCGCCTTTAAATAACTCTCTTCTTTTTCTTTCCTATTGAACAACCCTTCGAGTTCATTGCTGAATTGGCTACCGGTGCTGTCTTTGGTGTAAGAGCGAAGGTACCAATTGATCCCGGGAAGGACGTGACTAATTCAGTGTGAGTGGGGTGTGATTGTTGATGCAAGTGACCATTTTTCACCAAGTCCAGTCTGTCTACGTGAAATCTAATTATAGAACACACTATCAGTTTGAGGTGTCTGTTTCTGATGGTCGTGAGCCACTCCGGGCAGTGTGACGCTCTCCAAACACCCTCTCTTCATTTCATATAGATTCAGGCTAAAATTCCCTCTCAATTTTTCCACCCATGTGTGGAATAAATTTTGTGGCATGCACCCAGGCATGAGCAGATGTGCACCACCCGTAGGAACACATGCTGGCGGTTGTGGGTGCTCTGCTCCGCCCAAGTGCTCAGCCTACAGGGAACTATGATCGGGGCCGTAAGAGGTTGATTAGATCGGGGTGGAGAACTTATGGCCCACGGGCCCTATCCTCCACCAGTGCCTTCATGCAATGGGGAGGTACTGACAGACGGGCAAAGGAAGCAGCCTGGTCCCAAGCCCTGCAGCTTCTCCTTGCCACCAGGTTTGCGACACCCCCATTATCTGGACCCACTGGGACTCCCCTACACACTGCTGGTGGGTGAATGGCTACTGTTCCAGACAGCAGCAGAATGTGCCAGCATAGCTGGAGGCCGGGCGAAGGTGGCAGAAAATATTTGCCTATTTTTATGGAAAAGTCAGGACATCTGCAGGACACCTTAAATATGGGACTGTCCCGTTAAAAACAGGACGTTAGGCCACCCTATGGAAAAACCACTCACCCGACAGGAGGCTGTGGAAGAAGAATTAGATTGGAGGGGGCAGGGCTGGATAAGGCAATACAAATGATCATTATTATTAACTTGATTTTATCATGGACCTCCCTAAATCCCAACCCAGACCCTGCTCCAGGAAAACAGGGAGATATTTTTGGCCAAAGGTCTCCTCCCTACTCAGGGGGTGGTCTGGGAAAAGTTCATGGGAAACACCTACCCTGCCTGTCAAAATGAGCACAGCAACATAAGACTTGGGCTGGCAGTCAAAGAGTTCAGTCCCTCGCTATTTCCGACGAGTGTTCTTGGTAAGCCGTGCGCTTTTGCGGCCGCGCAGAGGAGATTCAAATGCTGCCCAGCTGATTAGCCAAACTCCCACAGCTGGCTGGGTGTGTGTGTTTCTATGGATGGTGCACATTCACACATGCCTCAATAGATATAAAATTTATTCCGCACTTGGATGGAAAAGATTTGAGGGAACATTGCCAGCAACCTTATTACATAATCCCATTATTAATATGCTTATCAAACTCCATCTTAATACTAATTAGGCTATTGGTCCCCTCTCAGAGGCTGTTCCAGAACTTCTGACCTCTGGTGGTTAGAAACTTCTAATTTTCCTGCTTAAATTTATGCACAGACTATTTATATGCAAACAGCCTTCTAGAGTAGCAGCCGCTCTCCATCACTGGCCTATGAGATCCTCCCACAATGCACCTGGTCATTTATGCTGCAGTCTGTAAAGAACCATTGTAGGTGTTGTGTCCTAGAGCATGTGCAGCATGGGAGGGAGGGAAAGGCTGTCTTTTATCTCAGCTCCTATAGCTTCAGATTCTGGGCCCGAGCCGCCGGAGGTGGAAAGTACCTCTAAGTATACCAGATCATAGAAGTAGTGATTCCTTTGTTGAATCTCACTGCGCGATCTGCCCAGTTAACATCCACAGAACAACAGCACAGTGAGAGTGGGGGGGTCCCGGCAGGATGAGTTGGCCGCTCGTTTTATTGTTTGCCCCATCGCCTGCGTCAAAAGCCTCCAGCGCTTGTTTGTAACACACGGGCTAGAAGGAGGACTGCCTTTCATGCACTTGAAATGGCTTGCCTTTGACAGCCCCTCCGTGTTCGTTCTGATGGGAAAGAGAAAGCAATAGCCCATGAATAAGTTTCTGTATGAATCAACCCTCTCATCTAAACCTCGTTCTGATGGGAAAGAGAAAGCAACAGCCCATGAACAGGTTTCTGTATGAATCAACCCTCTCATCTAAACTAAACTGCGTCCTTTCATTGACCTCTGTGAAACCAGCCCTCGACTTCGTTTAAAAGAGGAATAGGGAGCACAGGCGAAGGCACTGATGGAGGTGTCACGTTTCAGTCTCTTCTGGCCCTGCCACAGGTTTTGTAGTGCGATCCTGGGGAAGGCGCTGCTCTGCGCCTCAGTTTCCCCCATCTGAGAGAGAGGAATAATGCCTGGAGGGCAGGGGAATTTCCCAGATGTGTTCCATACATGCAATGCTTTGTTTTTTTCTCCCTGCCCTGAAGGGAGGCTGGTGTGTGGGGAGCCCCACATGTTCGGGACGATTCCGGCACATATGGGTACTTAAAATTTTGGGACACCATCGAAACAGCAGGTAAGAGTGGGTCATGTAGGAGCCGACCTGCTTTTACCTGCTGTCCCAAATTATAGTGATGTGAGCACACGAACGCTGGGGGGGAGGAGTTACCTACTTGGTTACCGCCCATGAGTGGCAGGTGCGGTAGGCAAGGGAAGGCATGGCCCCGCCCACATTCCATCCCCAGAACCCCTGCTGTAGGCCTACTGGAGGAGGCAGAAAGTTGCTCCCCCGAGCACCCGCCCTCCCCGTGCTCTGGGCTGGGGCTGCACCACCCCACTTCCCTGTGGTGCTGGGGGCGGGGCCTGGGCAGAGGGGGAGGTCTTGGGGGCGGAGCCGGGGGTCACCTCCCCAGCCCTACCTTCACCCACCACCCATGTTACTGCCTCCTGTTCTTCCTACTCTTAGGCATCCGGAGCTGGGCTCCTCTCTCCCTCGCTGGAGGGGTTTTAACTCCCAGGCCGCAGCCAGGCATTTAACCTCTTCCCTGCTGGACTGTCCCAGGGGAGGTGCTATGGGGAGGGGGTGTGGAGAACACAGTGCGGGGGCGGGGGGTGCATGGAACAAGTCATGTGGGGTGGGTAGATGGGGGGGATCGCGTAGGGCCCCACAAATTCTACGGGTGACCCAGCCCGTTCTGACTTTGTTTATTTTGATGTCATTGTTTCATTTGTCTCCCATTAGAAAACTCTTTCTGAACTCTTTGGCCTAACCACAGTTCCCCCAGGAGCGAGAGCGTGTGGGCCGGGACGGGGAAAGGAATGCAGGCCGTGGAAATTCCCTTTTTGCAACAGCCCTGCATGTGACTGGCCGGTGAAGGATCAGTGGCCAAAGAGGACATCTGGCAGCCGCTTCAGTTCTATTGGGTCGGACACGTGAGTGCAATGAAGTTTACATATCGCTCCTGAGGGCCAGGCCTGCTCCAGAGTCTGTCCCCTCTCGCCCCAGGAGAGGAGATGCTGGGGAGGCCACAGGGTTGTGCAAAGCCACCTCTTACTCTCCCTTGCAGCTCTGTCCTGCAAGAGGCTGCTGGCCCTTAAATCCTACTGAAGCCAGGTCAATGCAAAAAAAAAAAAAGCCAACGTGATTCTGGGCTGCATGAACAGGAGTGTGGTGAGCAAGACACGAGAAGTCATTCTTCCCCTCTGCTCTGTGTGGATCGGGCCTCAGCTGGAGTGTTGTGTCCAGTTCTGGGCACCACGTTTCAAGAATAAGGTGGAGAAGTTGGAGAAGGTCCAGGGAAAAGCAACAAAAATGATGAAAGGCCTAGAAATCATGAGCTATAAGCGAAGACTGAAAGAAGTAGGTTTGTTTAGTTTAGAAAAGAGAAGACTGAGAAGAGACATAAGAGCTGTTTTCAAGTACCTAAAAGGTTGTTACAAGAAGGAGGGAGAAAAATTGTTCTCCTTGACATCTGATGGTAGGATAAGACGTGATGGGCTTAAACTGCAGTAAAGGAGGTTTAGGTTGGATGTTAGAAAAAAATCCCTAACTGTCAGGGTGGTTAAACATTGGAATAAATTGCCTAGGGAGGTTGTGGAATCTCCATCCCTGGAGATATTTAAGAACAGATTGGACAGACATCTGTTAGGGATGAGCTAGATCAGTGTTTATCAATTCTATTTGGCCACAGAACCCTTTTCAGCTTGAAAAAAAAAAAGACCCGCCATGCAATTTGTCGAGCAAAAAAAGGCTCTGTCTCTTTAAGAGGGGGTGGGGGAGTGCCGAGTTCTCGCAGAACCCTTACTTTCGCTTCGCAGGTTCCAGGGAGCACCAATTAGGAAACACTGATTTAGATGAAACAAAATACAGGACTATGTAGCACTTTAAAGACTAACAAGATGGTTTATTAGGTGATGAGCTTTCGTGGGCCAGACCCACTTCCTCAGATCAAATAGTGGAAGAAAATTGGCACGGCCATATATACCAAAGGGATACAATCAAAAAAAGTGAACCCATATAAAAAGGACAAATCAAATTTCAGAACAGAAGGAGGATGCGGGGGGAGGTAAATGTCTGTGAGCTAATGATATTAGAGGTGATAATTGGGGAAGCTATCTTTGTAATGGGTAAGATAATTAGATTGTTTATTCAGACTCAGGTGTAAAGTGTTGAATTTAAGCATGAATAACAGTTCAGAGGATTCTCTTTCAAGTGCAGTCTTAAAAGGCTTTTGATGATTTAGATGTTGGATGATTTAGATAGTGCTTGGTCCTGCCGTGAGGGCGGGGGACTGGACTTGATGATCTCTCGAGGTCCCTTCCAGTTCTAGTGTGTTATGAGTCCATGATTCTGTACTAGACCCGGAAGATCAGCCTAAGCTAACAACTCCAGTTATGTTAATAATGTAACAGGAGCTGAGGTATCTTAAGCCGAGTTTGGTGCCATCTCCACAGTGGGAGGTTGAAGGGGGAAATGCTTCCTTGGACTTCCCTTATTCCCCATGAATCAAGGAGTACCGGTGCCGACTGGGGGCACGTTCGGCATTTGATTTAGAGAGTCCTTCCTAGACCTGCTAAATCAAACGCCAGAAGATCGCTCTCCAGCATGATAAGTACAGACAGGGCCTGAGTGCTTGGCACCTTGCTAGATAGGGCCTTGCATTGCAAGGAAGGAGCCGTGCTGCAGCTTAACGCCCATGACCTGATTCGCTCCGGTGTCACTCAGACAGGAGAACGTTGAGCTTGTTGCTTTCCCTGCTCGAAGGGGGGTTGGAGCTAGTCCCTAAAAGATGGTAAATTCGGAGTCATGAATTTTGGATTTGGAGCCACGATTGGCCCAAGGCAGGGGAGAGGGTTGGATCAGGCCAGTTTTTCCTAGCTATCTGGAGAAAACATGGAGCCGACGGAAGAAATCCAAAGGTGCTGGGTCCCAACACACACCCAGAGCTTTGTAGTGACTCGGACATCGGCTGGACACCGGACTCTGTCATGGCTGGCTCTTGACACGTTCCTCCAGACGGTTTCGATTCAGTGGGGAGGAGCTAGCCCTGAAAGAGATCCAGTTTGGTCCAGCGTACGGGGCAGATGACCTGACTGTGACATAGTGCTGCTAGGCTGCAGAGGGATGGTTGTGGGTGTCGGGACACCAGGGGCTCTAAGCTTGGGGCTGCCAATGACCATGAGCAAAGCACTTTACCTCTATGAGCCTCTGCCCCCCTTGTCCCACTAGGTCTGTTCAGATTGTAAGCTCTTTGGGACAGGGCCTGTCTCCAATCCCCTTGTCCCGCTAGGTCTGTTCAGATTGTATGCTCTTTGGGACAGGGCCTGTCTCCAATGTTCCTTGCAAGCTGAGCTCTTTGGCGGCCACCGAGGAGTGATTTCAGTGCTGCCTATCTGATTCTCAGAGCACCCACAGCTGGCAGCATGTGTTTCTATGGGTGGTGCACATCACACATGCCTCAGTGCATATAATAAAATTTATTCAACACATGGATGGGGGGGGGAAGAGGGAACATTGCTCGTCTCTCACTAGGACACATCTCACATGGCAACCGAGACTGGATCCACTAACTTGCAGGGCTCATGTTGCAGGGCTCAAAATTGCAGCGTCGACGGAAGCGCTGGGCTCCAGTTTGAACGTCTATGCTGCGGGTATTTTACTGCAGCGTAAACAGATCTCGTGCGTCTGCTCCCTGCCCAGCACAACAGGCCCTGACCTCCGCCCTGAGACAAATAATAATACTAAAACTCAGGAGGGCGGCGGGTCTTGATTTGCAGCCATACAACTTGAATCAAAGAGGTGTGGAGACGCTTGGACTAGCAGGAAACGTTTTATATGCTCCCACGGAGCGTGTTGTTTGAGACTCCCATAACGCATATATAAGGAGATGCTGATATACTGTCTGTACGTTTCATTAGTCTGTTGATTATGGCGGATGTGTTGACAGTCGTGGGTGACGTATGAGGTGCAAATCAGAGCAGGCAGCATGGAGACATCACGGCTCGCTTGGCCAAAAGAAGCTGCAATGAAGCGCACGAGGCAACTCAGCCAGAATGCTTGTTTCATACATTTTTCTGGGGCGTGCAAAGTTTTTGCCAGACAGCACTCGGGGGCTGGGCTGTGAGACGCTGAACAAGTCCTCGGAGGTGGAACATGTATGTAGCTCCCATTGGATAAGCATCTTTGTTGGGTTTACTTCCAAATGGGCGTCACCGAAAAGTGGTGTTCCCGGGAGATCTCAGAGGCAATGAAATTAGACTTGCCCGGTGTCGCTTTTGAGGCGAGCAAGGCAAATCGTGGATTTTTCAATTCATTGGCAATGTTGAAAAGTTGGGGAAAAACTTGTGTCAGATTTGATCCAAACCAGAAACATTCATAATTGTTGATGACTCTAAAAATAAAAGTAAATCAGTTGGGGGTTGAACCTAATGTGTCCTTTGATCCAAATGAAAATGCTTTGTTTTGACTTTATTTCTTCCTTGAAATGGTTTAGAAATGATTAAAAGAAGACATTTTGAACCATCTGTCGCTTAGAGAAACTAAAATGTTTCCATCTCTTCCTTGAAATGGTTTTGAAATGATTAAAAGAAGACATTTTGAATCATCTGTCGCTTAGAGAAACTAAAATGTTTCATTCTGAAAATGACAAAACATGTTTTGGTTTTTCGGTGGGTGCGGGCTGGGATTCCTGGAGGATTTTGTTAAGCAGTTGGGTGAAAAAGACATGGATTTGCTAAATATGTCGGTACCATCATAACTGAGAGTTTCACTGAAATTATTTTTTGGTTGAAAAATTTCATCCGCTTCTTCTGAATTGCAGCCAGTGAAATTTTTAGCCTAAACAGGAATCTCAAGCAGATTGCAAGAAAAAATTGACCTGTGTGGGATAGTTTGACTATAGAGCAAGTGGCCATTGTAATGAATTGACCAGTTTGTATGTGAACCACTGCCCTTTAGCGGATGCTATCAGAAGTGCTCAGCTGTGTTTCATAGGCCCTATACTGCTAACTGCTAGTGGGAGTTCTCCGTTTGTTCAGTTGGCAGAGGTCTGCACTTTAGAAGTAGGAGGATCATAGTTCTATTCCTACTGCTGCCCTGAAGTTCTTAATAGCCATGGTCTGAAGCAAAGTCACAATCACAAACCCCTTAGATAATGACCGATGGGTTCCAAAATCAACCCGCAACAACATTTTATTTCTCTTCAGCAGTTAGATCTTCAAGCCAGCAGATGTTCTCTTGGCTCTTTGAATGACTCTCAGGTTAATCCACATATAACCCGCTCTTAGTCTTTGTTTGTCTAATGACGAGTCAAAATATGTTTTCAGTTGAATCAAATAAAGTCGTGTTTACACAAGTGTTTTGCAAGGGTGTTTTATGGCTTCTTCTCTCTTTGGCCAGGCTATTAAATTGAAATCCACAGACGTTCATGCCACGAATGGTGTGGCAACTGCCGACGGGCACAACGCACTGTGCACTTGGCATATTGCAATTTCTAGTAATAGTCTTCTCTTTCTTCCTCCGTATTAATGAGGGAAACAATTGGAAAGGAGCCAGGGCACTTCCTTAGGGGGCATTTCCAAAGCAGAGCCTGAGATGCAGCCGTGTGCTTTTATTAACATCAACGCTAGCCTGTTCCCAGCGTGCTATTTTGAGAACGCACCAAGCAGTGACAGCACACGGATGGACAGACAGCCCGCCTCCCCCAAGGCAGATCAGCAGATGGCAAAGCAATAACAAGAAAACCCGGAGCGCCTCGAATTCCGGGTTGTCTCGGTATTTGGAGTCTTCCCTCTGGAGAGTTAACCGTGAACGCGCTGGTAAGTCGTTAGCCCATACGTACACGTTAGGCGTCGTATTAATATAAGTGTGGGGAAGCTGTGTGTGTCTCCACACCCTGCCCCCGTCCCAAGTTTCCCCGCAGCCAATGGGAGCTGCAGAGGTGGTGCATGGAGCCCTGCCCCCAATCCCCTGTCCTCTGGTCAGAGGGGGGTGTGGGTCACTGCAGGAGCCGCCCCAGGTAAGCACTACACCCCTCAGCCTCTCCTGCACTCCCACCCCCGGTCCAGACTACCACCTGTACCCCGCAACCAAACTCCTTCCCAGAGTCTGCACCCCAAACACCCTCCTCTACCCACGTCTCCTGCCCCAGCCCAGAGCCTGTGCCCAGGGCCAGTCCTAACCAATTGGCACCCCCGGGCGACTGCCTGGCTCACCCGTAGGGTTGCCAGATGGTTTAAGAAAAAAATAAGGGACAAGACCATCTCTGTCGATGGCCCCTTGAAAATCGCGGCCCTGGACAACTGCTCAGCTCGCCTGCTCCTAAGACTGGCTCTGCCTGCGCCCAACACCCAAACTGTACCCCAAGCCCCCTTCCCAGAGCCCACCTCCCTCACCCACCCAAACTCCCAGAACCTCAGGCCGGTGGGGCGTGGACAGGACTTGGACCCATTCTGGTCACTACCAAAAATTCTGCTGGGCCTAGCAGTCCTCGCCTGTCCCTAAGGAACAGGACAAGACATGTGACTGTCCTACCCTAATACAGACGAGGAGGTTCCTTCATTCTTCCAAACACACATACAAGGGGAACACAATGGCATCCGAAAAACAAGGTAGGCTGCTGATGGGTTCCATTTAATTTCAGGTGATGTGAACAGTACCTTACATTGGTAACCAGGTAGGGCATAAGCTAGGTTGGGGTGTCATTTTGACAGCCCACCTTCTCTGTAAGAGGAACGTAAGAACGCTCCTTGGACACTGGTATCACGGACTTTCCTGTGTGATCCTGTTATTGGCTGAGCGCCGTAAACCTTCCAGAGGTCGGCTGTGTGGTCCCTTGGATCTGGTTCACGGAGAACCAAAGGGTGGTCAAGCAACGGACTACAAAAATGTACCAGCCCCATGCACAGCGAGGACCCTGCACGCTGTGGGGCATGAGCCTAGTTTGAGACGGGCTGGTTGGTTGGGTAACTCTTCTGACCCTTCTGGTTCGTTATTCACATGCAGAGGCGCTGGGCTTGGCCCCTCCCCCCGTCTTTTTTGGCCCGCCTAGAATGTCAGACGAAACCCCATCGCTGGTGGCACCGAAACGGGGGTGTCAAAGTGGGAGGAGCTACTGCATGTAGATCAGGGGTGGGCAAGATCCGGCCCACCTTGCTGCACGCCCACCCCCAGGCCAATCGAGATCCGGGGGAGGGGACAGAATGAAGTCATTCGCCATTCAAAGCAGCTGGCAGCTCCCTCCCCTTGCCAGGGCGTGTGGCACCTAGAAGGAGCCACCAGCTGTTTTGACCAGCGAATGGCTTCATGCACTCACCAGGTCGTGATTGGCCTGGGGGTGGGAGGAGCATGCAAAATCTCCTCCCCCCCACCAGAGGCACGTGGCACCTAGAGGGAGCTGCCCCTTCCATCGGAGGCTCCGCCCCTTCTGCCTGAGGCTCCGCCCTTTCCAGGGAACACGACCCAGCCCGCAACCACTACCACAATTTGTGAGGTGGCCCCCTGGCAAAAATTATGGCCCACCCCCGATGGCAATACCGTGTCATGTGACTGAGTCCTCCGAATTCCGCGAGCTGGATCTGGGTCTAAATAGTTACAAGACCAGATTTCCAAAGACTGTCTCTATGTTGCGTGCCTTCGGCGTTGCATGTGCGACTGGACATGCTTTGGGCCTGCCTTGGCTTCTGAGAACGTCAGAAAATCAGCTGGACTCCTTAAACTAAAACACCCCAGAGCTGGAGTTTTTGAGCTTTAAATGAACCATTTGCAAAAAACCCAGCATTTGGAATTTGTGTCTTCAAACCATCTGATGAGCACTGGAGAATAGCCAATCTATTTGGAGATTTCAGGCTCCGGTAGAAAACGATGACCAAAAAAAGTGGGCTAGATCCATCAGATCATTAACCCACAGCAAACGATCTGAGTATCTCTTCCAATTGGTCGAACGGTGTCACAAAGCTCTGTCTAGAAAAGTGGTTCCCAAATTTTTCGGCATCACGCCCCCTTTTGATTTTTGAAAAACCCTCCCCTCCCCCCCCAACAGCAAAACTTGTTGGCTACATATACACTGGCATGATTTTCCGAAAATGTTTTCACGGAAAAGTTTTCCGTTAAAAGCATATTTGGAAAAGCACGTTTAGATTGGCAGGATGCTTTTCCATAAAAGCATTTTTTGCGGAAAAGCGTCTGTGGCCAATCGAGACACGGTTTTCCGCAAAAAAAAGCCCCGATCGCCATTTTTGCGATTGGGGCTTTTTTGCGGAAAACAGTACCATGCTGTCTATATTAGCCCTTTTGCGCAAAAGTCTTTCGGAAAAAGACTTTTGCCCGAATGGGAGCAGCATAGTATTTCTGGAAAAGCACTGATGATTTTACAGGAGATCGTCAGTGCTTTTCTGGAAATTCAAGCGGCCAGTGTAGGCAGCTGGCAAGTTTTTCCGCAA